TACCACAAAAATTTTAAAAGTTAGAGTAGTACTACCACATTAGTATTTCCGGCTAGAATCTCCGGTGATAGGGGCCCACTTTTCACCTATATAAACAGTTATATAGAGAGGAGAGAGAAACTCATATTGGAGGGAAAGGTGAAAAGTGGGCCCCTATCACCGGAGATTCTAGCCGGAAATACTAATGTGGTAGTGCTACTCTAACTTTTAAAATTTTTGTGGTAGTTGTTTTAAAAAAAAAATTTAAAAGGTAGTTGTTTTCAAAACAGAGGCTATAATTGGTTGTTGTTGACAAAATTTCCTGTATTTCCACTTTAACTTTTGATTCTTATCACTTTGTTGCATGATTATAATGTTGATGATATCACATTGCGTCTCTTACTATAAATATTTGAATTAGCATAACTTTACGGACTTCTTGGAAGCCTTTCCTACGTATTGCGTCACTTTTGCTAGTTGTTCCAAAACTGAACTTGTGGACTGATTCACAACTTGGTATAGTTGTCTTGGCAAATGTTAGAGCTAATGATGATTATAGTGGATTTTCTTAAATGCAGCAAAAAACTCTAAAATATGGAGATTGGCAACTTCAATGCAGGATCACAAGTCAGAGATTGAAGACTGGGACTTGGGAGCTGGAATTTATATCTCATACATTTTATCTATTAAGAAGCTCTCTTCAGGGTGCTGATGATGATATAAACAAATTGGTAAGTATATTCTCCTACATTATGATCTCCGTGGAAACTTGCATCGTATTTAGCTAGGGCTGCAATAGATCAGATACGAGTCGGATTATGCTCCATCCGCATCCATCCGCCTATGCCCATCCGTCACCCAATCCATCTGTCACCCGATCCAAACCCCATCCATATCCGATCCATCATCATCCACAAATGAATCGGGTGACAAAAGGATGAAATTCAAGTTCAATTCGCATTCTAATTTAAAAAAAAAAAATCAGATTTGGAAAAGTAGTCCACTAATATCAACACCCATGAATATAATTAAACAGTAGACATCAATACTTCAATAGTCTAATATACCATCAGTGAAAGAAAATGATAGTAATACCACATAATACAATTTAATAAGTCTCGCACAAATTACAACATTTGTCTAAAGTCTCATAAAAAAAAAAAAAAAAAAAAAAGACAGTACATAACATTTGCTCCAAATAAATATCTTTCTTTTCAACTCTTCAAGCCTTCACAAATTATTGATCTTCATATCAAAAGTCTTTCCTCTCCATCCTACATACCATAATTAATAATACCAAGTATTTATAAATAAGATATAATCAAAAGAAATTGGGGTTAAAGAAATAGAGAAGTTTGATCAAATTACCGAGTTAATATCAATGACTTCACTTGATGTACTTCTTTCGGCTCCCACATCAACATCATCCAAGATAGTAGCACATGCATGTGCATTGTCAAAAGAAGAATCTAAATTGATATAAACAAAATTATCAATTTTAATATCAAACATTTTAAAATAAATAAATTATTTTAAGTGGATGTAGTATGTAAAAGAGTAAGAATTACCAGAGTACTCATTAAGAATCCAATTTTGTAAACACATAAGTGCCTCCACGGTTGTAGCATGAAGACACAAACGATGAGGACTCACGACCCTACCCCCCCCATGCTAAAAGCACTCCCCGAAGCCACAGTTGATGCTGGAATAGCTAGTATGTCCTTGGCAATTTTTCTTAATTTAAGGTTGGATACTTCAAATCAATTCTCCAATAATGAAGGACATCAAAATCATTACTCTCCCGCAATGCATCATCCTCAAGATAATGATCAAGCTCACACCTCACATTAGCCTTTCTTTTCTTATACCTCTTAATCCTACTCCATTCATCAACTTCATCACCATTATTACTCAAAGGATCACCAACATGTCGTTTCACTAAAACGCACATGTAAAAATTTACCGTCTAATAAAAGATTGTCAACATCAAATTTCTCATGCAAGATATCAACCATGACATCATTTGTTGTGCAATTATCAAGAACCACAGATGAAATTTTTTCAGCTATGTTATACATATTCAGAGTATCCACCAAAACCTGAGCAAGCATATTTGCAGTATGTGGGCAAGGAACATAAACAAACCCAGGCATAAAAATAATTACGCACAATCAATTTATTATGAAACAAAATACATCAATACACAAACATAAACAACCAAACAACTATTATGAAAAACTGCAATAGTTTATATATTAAAGAGTGTAATATTATGGATACTTTAAGGTTCTGTTTCGCAAATTCCATTGGTCATCTATGAAGTGTGATGTAACAGCCATATATCCTTGTCTTTGGTTTGATGCAGTCCACATATCAGTCGTAATTGCAAATTTTCCCACATGATCATCAAATAATTTTTTCAGGTTTGCTTTCTCACTTGTGAACATCTTCAAAATATCACTTTTGAGAGTATGACGACTGATTATCTTGAATGTTGGATTTCAGGTTTGCTTTCTCACTTTTGAACATCTTCAAAATAATTTTTTCAGGTTTGCTTTCTCTGGCCCCTGACGCTACTTCCCACATGCCTCAGCAGCTTTCTGTTCTCGATAAAATATTCCAGTTTCGCTCGGTGTTATTTCGGTCCTAATTGTGAAAGATATTTCTCAAATTTCCTACGTGTAAAATCCTATGTTTTTAACTCATTACGGATGGTCTTTCCAATGAGATCTTTTTTATGCATATGACAATAATGTTAATCAAAATTACGCACATGAAATACTTAGAATTTTTCGAGTCTCATCCACTCATTCTAAATCATTGCCGAAACAAATTCAGGAATTAAAATAGAAATCCTCCCCAGCGGAGTCGCCAAAAACTGTAGGGAATAGATTCAAGCGTTAACCCCTTGCTTGAACCCCACTGTGATCATACACTAAAGTACGGTGGCGTCCAAAAGGGAAGAAAATAGAGCAAAAGAGTCGCCAACAAGTTTTAAGAACTTGTAAACCGTTCATAGGGTGAAGGTTACACCCCTTAACGATCCAAGAGACCGTCAACTCCATAAGGTCTAGAACCAAATAAGGGTTCGGGGATGAAGGTACAAATCCAACCTAAAAGAGATTGAACCTGCCCTAATAATAGGCCTCTACTTTATTCCGATCGTATTCATGTGCGCTTTCGGACTAACATACAATCAATAGGATTAACCCTAAACCTATTTATCTATGTTGGTTGAATATTAATGCACAAATAAACTATTATTATTGGCGATCACTTGAAATTATAATCATATTAACCCTAAACAAGATTATTAATTATCTTATTAAGCGTGATTACAAGTACCAATTCCCTTTAAACATGCAATAAAAGGCGTGATCAAGCAATAAATATAAATATCAAGCAACATAATAAATAATATCATGAATAATAATTATAATAATCAAAATAATAATTATAATCATAGTAATAATCATAATAAAATAATCATCATCGTAATAATAATAATAATATTCATAATTATCATAAATTATAACAATTATAACCATAGTCATGTTCATGTTAATATTAAAGCATAATAATAATAGCAAGATCCTAGGCATGATACTAACAAGATTAATAACAAACCCTAGCATGTCACTAAGCAATAAAAATCAAATCTTTAGCCCTAACATGATACTAACAATCATAAATATTAGGAAGGAAATAAGAAGCATCTCAACAATCATATTAAATATTAAAATTACCCTAGACATGATACTAGGAATATCATAATAACAATATAAACATGATTTCTACATCATAATATTAATAAATCAATTAAAGCACTTACTTTGATGCCTCGTACCTCTTTCTAATAACAAAATACACACGTTAGTAACTTCAAGGAAAATAATAAACAAAACAATTAAATTAAATAATTGAAATAGAGATTTGGGACCAAACCCTCAGAAATTAAACCTTTCACGTCTAGGGCGAAGGTAATTTCGAATATGGCTAGGTGTTTCTAGATCTTGGGAATGCGGAATTTTGTATATGAAAAGCAAAGTTTAGAAAAAGAGAAAGATGAAGAGATAAATGAATTAAGAGATAATTAGAGAATTAATGATTGCGAATGAAAATCGATTGTAAGTGAATATTCGTGTGAATTGGTGAATGATGAGAATTGGTGTAAATTCGTGAATGAAAACGGAGTTTTTAATACGTTATTTATAGAGAAATCAGCCAAAAAGATAACATAGCAAAACAGAGCACTTGGCGCACGCAAAACGAGATTGGCGCACGGAAAACAGAGCTGGCGCCAGCACCAACTAATTGGCGCCAGGCGCCAATGGCTAGCACTAGGCCAATGGCTAGCGCCAGGCCTGGTTCCAGGCGCCAATGCCTGGAGTCAGGCGCCAGGCCTGTTTTTGACGCGTTTTCGAAAATCAGATAAGTTTGCCGTACTGGAGGATAAAATCGTATTTTTTCCTCGAAAATGCTTTTTGATTTTAATTAAAACTCTGAAAAGTCAACAAAAGTCAATTTATCAATGCTAATTGAATTAGGAATGAAAAGAACCTTGTAGAAGAATGTAGAAGACTAAAACCAATCCTAATTGCATTAGGAATGATAAATCATATTAGGCCCTCCCCTAGATCATTGGGCCGCATATAAAGTTCAAACCGGGCCCAGTTTAGTAAATTGGTCATAACTTCCTCAATATTCATCGGAATTGCGCTTATAATATATCGTTGGAAAGCTCTTGTCAAGCCCCATCCAACTACACTACTATTGGACCCATATCATGGACCAACCAAACTGGATTGACTGTTTTCTTAAAATAAGTTTTCAAAAACAGAGAGAAGAGAAAAGAATTAAAACCATCCACAACACTAAACTTTCCACACTTTCACTTCATTCGATTATAATTCGACGTGAAAGGTATTCATCACTGGGTTTGGTTTTGGGGTGACACAAATGGGTGTCTACAACTATGAACAAATTTTCTAAAGCCAATATGCTCCACAATAGACAAGGGATACTCATGGAGAATAACCATGTTAGCTAACTCTTTCCTTGATACTTCTTGACTAAATACATGGTTTTCTATTCTTGTTGAATCATATCTACGATTAATAGACAATGTTGTTGGCGCACATCGATCTTCACTACATGCATTTTAACACACCTATTCTCAATATGGTCTTTTAAATGGGAGGTCCCATTTTTACTATTTCGTGAGAAGAGGTTTTTACAATGTAGACATCTTGCTTTTGCTACACCATTGATTGTCAACTTCTCAAAATGATTCCAGACTTCTGATTTAAGCCTTTTAGGTTGACGTGGAGGTAAATCCATGGAATTATGTTGTGAATCAAAATCTTGTTGTGTGGACTGATCATTAATAGGCATAGTCGCTTGTTTAGTAGAGGCTAATGGCGGTGGAATCTGCATCTCGGAGCTGATGGCTTTGACGCATCACTACTTTCTTCCATGTCCATGAATCTGTTGCTGTATAAGAGAAAGATCAGTATTAATTAACAAAATAAACCTCTCAGGGCTTCCACAACCATAAATTATTTAAGTATACATGCAACTATAACAAAATCTAACTACAAGAGTATGAAATTGGCAAATTACCCACACGCAAATGTCCAAATTATTCTTAAAAACCTAACTTATATACATTACAATCCCAAATTATAATTATAAAGTCAAAACTCAAAAGCTAGATATTTTCTTATCTAATTTCCAATTTTTTCGTACAAGTATACTACCTAAACCACTTGCAAAACATGAAATTAATTAGTATGACTTTATCCTCTTTGATCTGCAAGTTTTTCTTGATTTAATTTCTTGTTTATAAATTACATAATGTTTGTTCCTTCTAATTTAACTAAGAAACTAAAATTAATTTACTGAAAAATCATGAGAATTATTTAACTAATGAACAAAAATAATGAAAAATAAAGAGAAGAGTAATAATGAAGTGTTCTAACCAGTTTGCCGATGAAATTAGAGCGGTTGACGACAGCGAAACTCGTCAAAATGGTGGTTCTGTAGTCTGAAGGTGCGGCTAGTGAAGTTAGATCTAGGGTTTGAAGCTCTTAACTAGATGAGAGAGAAACAAAGTATTTGATTTTCTATCCTATATGATGTAGTAAATAATATATATTTATATAATTTTTTTTTAAAAATAATACTATATATATATATATTTTTAATATATATATTAATATAAATGTGGATGGATGGGTGGATCGGGTGACGGATCGGGTGATGGGTTGGATGAAGGTCCACCCGAATCCGACCCGATCCACCCGTCATCCATTTATAATCAGCCTTTAATCGGGTTTTATCCATATTTTTGGGTCGGGTGGATCGGTTATCCACGGGTTCGGGTGAAATTGCCAGCTCTATGTACAGCTCAACTTGTTATGGCAATTTTGTATCTTGAACTTGTAAAAGTTCATTTTTATAAATAGTCTTGGGAAGGGAGAAGCATGTTATATTATGGCTTAATTGTATTGTCTCAGCAGCTTTCCCATAACTATTTCTGTTATTTATCAGCAACAAAATCATAAAGACTGCTGTGCTTAAATGTGTACTGTATTTTTTAGGATTCTCTTGAGAGTAAGGAAGCAGCTTGTAGGGAGTTCTTTGATTGCATGAACAAGTCTCTAGAAGTACTGGAAAGCAAACTACCTACATATGCAAGGTATGTATATTTTTGTGTTAGCCGATTTATTTGTTATTCTCTGAATCTTTTAATGTTCTGTTGTAGTAATTGTTTGTCTTATTTTGTTAGTTAATGTTACATGCATTGTATGGCTGCAAGGGAAATAAATGATACTCCATATTTTATTTTTGTTAGTGTCCTTTAATGCTAGTACACAAATTTAATGTTAAATGATGATTATTTATTTATTTATTTTTAGGGTGGCCTATTCAAAGATGACAGAGGAGATATGCAGTTTACTAGTGTCTGATAGTGGAGAAGATTCAACACGTGAGACTCAATTAAGCTGCTTTGACACCATAGTTGTTGCCTCAATCCCTGAAGATCTCCGTTCTTGTCATATGCAGGAAGTAGTGTCCCTTTTCACCACTTTTCTTTCAGAAACAACCACCTAACTCTTTCCAGGCTCAAAAATTACTCATTGATACACAAAATGCACACTCCACCTACAAAGAAGCAATATGTAGAATTGCTGGGGAAGATAAAGGGTTATGTGTTGAACAAACATTGGAAGTGTTGATGAAATTTGGGGTTCAATTGAGATGCATTACAAGTCTTAAAAGCCTTGGTTGAAGCGCTTTCCTGAAGTTTAGTTGGTTTGGTCTTTCTCCTTTAATTTAATTATGGTTAGGTTTTTTTAACAATGGTTTAGTAGATTGATGTGTAAAATGGACTAAATTGCCAATTTTGATAATTTAATTTGTACATAATGTATTTATATGGTTGAGGCCATGTTTAAATCTGATATGTTGAAATAATTACAGTTTTTTTTTAACGGGGCTAATTACATATTTACATACTCTTACAATGTCACATACAGTTTTAATTACACCCTTTTATATTACAATGCTTCATATATGATCACGTGGAGAGAAACGCACGGGAAGAATATTAAAGATGTAGATGAGGATGTAAAATTATACTTACGCGGATGTAGGATGGATTTCAAAAGGAAGGATGTTTATAGCTATTCTATGATGAGAGATGATAACATTGCCCCCTCCCCACGCCCCACGGCCACATATTGTTGCCTTCCTTTATCAGGATGAGGTGCTTCCACATTCTATCTCCTTTTAGTTTGATAGTGGTATGACATTTGATTGTCAAGTTGTTAATGTTTTTACCCCATTTATTCTCTACATAACAACTATCACTACCCTAGATAACCACACCACGTACACATCGCCCTCGTTCTTAGGGTGGCCGTTTATGGTTCATTCTCGCCAATAATGGACTTTTGCTAGTTCTCCTTGGGCAATCTTAACTCCTGTCATGTAACTTCTCTCATATCATGATATGTGCGTTATAAAGATCAATCTACCTGCACGAGGATGGTTAGGCTATTAGTATATGAGGATGGTTACATAAACTATTGTCATATATACGAGACTTACAACTTTACATCTTGCCTCTTCGTCTTTTCTTATCAATCTACTTCTCTAATAAGCTAGACAAGTCACAAAAACATATTTGAGTTTCATTTTATTGTCTTGGACTTATTAATGATCATTGGTTTTGGATATTCTATTTGGTTTTGAAGGGCTTATAATGGTTCCAACTTTCCACTTAACCAACCGAAAGGTTGGCTAGCCCCACCCGTATTTGCCAACGCACTGTTGATGCAGATGTTGCCCTTGCGAACTTATGGCCTAGCAGATGTTGCCCTTGCGAACTTATGGCCCTTGCAGATGTTGCCCTTGCGAACTTATGGCCTAGCAGCGAGACTCGGCCTTAGCTCCCCTAACATAGGCATGGCCTTATGGATACACCTTAAGGCACTAGGTCTTTGTCGTCGTCACTTGGTTTGATTTATCTTTTACGACCCATTTGATCCAATTGACAATATATGCTTGCACTTGGTATGTCTAAGCCCAACATCCGTCTCATGGTTTGATTTCGACCATTTCGTGCTTAAATAAGGGTGTACCTGATATGTCCATTTTATATAGTGTTTTATCCCCGTCCCTTGGTCGTTATTAGTAGTATTTTTGGCTCTTTCGGGCCACTTTTATTACTAATTTGTGTGTTCTAGTGTTTTCGTAGTCTTAGTTGTATTTTACAGGAAATCACACTCTTGGAGCATTTTCCCGGGTTTTATTGGATCGACTACGGAAGCTAGAAGGACACGACCACTTTTGGAGCCCAAGACCGGTGAGAGCCGGTGATTAAGGGCTCAGTAATCGGGATACCGAGGTATATGGACCGAGTGATCAAGACCCTAAGTGGATATCCGGATTGGGCCGAAGAAATAAGCCCAATCGAAGCTCCGAGCCTCAAGGTGAAGCAAGGGCCTGATCGGGCAGCTTAGCTCGATCGGGCAAGGCGCGCAAGAGTGTGCTGGTGCGTGGCCAAAGGCGCGCCCGATTGGGTGAGCTGCTTAACTCTTTTGTTGAGCAATTAGTTTCTAATTAGGAAGTTGTTTTAGTTTTGTTTAAGTACGGTTTTAGGGGGATTAATTTTAGGGACCTTCTTTCTTAGACTTTCTCTCTCTACTTAGTATTCTCTCTCTCTTAAACTCTCTCTAAACCTTTGTTCTGAATTCTTTCATTAATTCCAGATTTATTTTGGTAACGATTTCTCTTCCCTTAATCTTAGTTGTTTATTTTATTCCTTTCATCATGATTTATTTTATTGCTTTTGATTTGTTTAGTTTCTATTATGTGTGAGTAGTTTAATTTCTAGGGTTTATGGGGATCTAATAAATAATATGAAGGGGTAATTTATTGTTGTTAATTATCAATGCTAGATTAATTTCCTATTGATTGATTTAATGCGTTGTGACTAGATTAGGCCTATCTTTTATGCATGAGTTTGACAATATTGATTCAAGAGTCGAGAGATGAGAATTAATGTTTAGGTCTAATTTCAATAGGCAAGTTAATTTATAAATGGTTAAGTCAAGATTCGAGAGATGAGATTTAATACCGGTAAATTAATTGTGTGATTGTAATACGTAGCGAGAACCCTTTACAATCTGGTTAATTGATGCATTGATGATTGACTATTATTGATTATTGGTATTGCATGATAATTTCTTATTGAATTGTTTTAACGTTTTACAATTGCGGCTTGTAAAAGTATAGCAATATTAAATTGATGAATCGAGCAGATGTTAATTTGATATTAAAGGCTATTTTCAATAAGAACTTAGATCTAGTAAATTGCGAGAGCCTATTAGATCTATGTTGATTAATAAATTGCGAGAGCCTGTTAATCATGTTATTTATGCAATGTCAATGATTGATTACTATGTTTTACCCTGGAGTATTATTTATTGGTGAACCTATGCCCTAGATCCTTTTATATATTGTTTTCTCCTTATTCCTATTCTTTGTAGTTTAGTTTCATACTCAAATATAAATATTGGTTACTTAGATAATTTAGATGATAATAATTAATTAGGAGTAAAAAGACTTGTTTCCCTATGGAGATCGACCCTACTTCCCTATCTATTTTAGTTAGTGGTTTTAGGAATTACTTTTGATTTGGGGATACGACTTTACCCTGTCAAAATTTGGCGCCGTTGCCGGGGAAACGGTTTTATTTTTATTTCTGATTGTTTTTGTAGTCTAAATTATTTCTCTTTTGTCTCAGAGAGTGTCAGTTCTCTGAGAAAGATCTCATATTTGCTTCTAGTTTTTGTTTATGCCAGGTGTTCCAGATCAGGTTACATCCCATTCGATCCTGAGATCGTACGTTCCTTCCATAGACAGAAAAAATTCTACAAGCAAATCCTGGCGGATTCTGGTGATAATAACAATAATCACCGCGATCCTCCAACTGATTCCAGCGATTTAGAGGCATCATCAGACGCAGAATCAGAGATGACGGCTCCAAAGAAGCTTAGTGATTATTCACAACCAAAGCTTACGGATTTTCCACATCTCACCCCTAATCCGGCTCTTGATGGGGTTCAATTTGAAATTAAACCTCAATTTATAACGATGATAGAGAGGAAGCAATTCAGTGGAGCAAAGTGTGAAGACCCGAATCTTCACATTGCCGACTATTGTCAATATTGCAACACCATCAGACAAGCCGGGGTCACTCAAGACCAAATCAGGGAGATTCTCTTTCCTTTCTCTTTAACTGGAAAAGCTAAATTGTGGTTTAATGGCTTAAATAGAACTACACTTGGTATAACTGACTGGGAAACTCTTGTTTTGAATTTCTATAACAAGTATTATCCTGCAGAGAGAACAGCAGTACTACGGAGTGCGATTCAGAACTTTGCCCAAGAAGCCGATGAGTCTTTATATGAGGCTTGGGAGAGGTTCAAGGACCTAAAAAGAGAATGCCCTCACCATAATTTAGCACAATGGCAGTTAATCCAAGCCTTTTATAACGGCATTGGGAATTCCTCTAGAATAATTTTAGACTCTGCAGC